GTTCGTGTTGAATTGATTAAGGTGAGAGAGGACAAAAACCGGATCGGTGATTAGAGAACGCCATGGTTTTGAAACGCAGCTGCAGAGTATGAGGGTTTTGGAGGAAAGTTTGAGGAAGATGTAGAACAAAACCTCCGGCGGGAGAGAATCTAACATTTGATGAAGCTTCCGATTGAGGAATTCAGATGAGAAAATTGCAGAATTTCGAAGAGCTCCGGATTTTTCTTGTTCCGTCTCCAAGAAAGTGGCTGCAATTTCCAGAGCTTGAAGAGGAGAAAGAGAAAACAGCTATGAGAGAGAGAGAGAAACAGAACGACAAAGAAATATATAAAAATCAACGGCGGTTTTGTTTGATTATTTCGTCGTCGTCGTTCAAAAGACACACCATTTCATAGCGTGCATCTTTCCCCACGTCATTTAATTTAGAGAAAAATTACAAAATAATAATAATAATAATAATAAATAAATAAATCAAACATTAAAGCTAAATAAATTAAGATAAATACTTTCCGGGAACCAGGGTCTTAGCTACTCGCTTTCGAGCGATCTTTAGCCGCCTTCTGAGTCCTGGCTATAGACTTTGTCTTAAGGGTTGGGTTTGTTGTTGCTGTCCTCGTAGGTAATCCTTGTTGGAGAGTTATAGCTTATCTCAATTGAGAGTCCTGGGTTGCGTCTTATCTAGACCGCTAACAACCTTAGCTACAGTCACTCTATGTAACTCATTGAGGTCCAATGTGTCCTGCCTTGAACGAAGATGAACAGAGACTCCTTGAAACGTCAAGTTCGGATCTCGAAACTTACAAAAATTTTAATAATACTCTTAGAAATTCAAAAATAAATTTACGGTTAGTTTTTTTTTTAATGAAATTATTGATATTTTATTAATACCGGCTAAAGAAATAACTACGCTTACATTTAATTTGGGAGAAAATTGTTATATTTTATTTCAAAAATATCCTGAAATATTTTATTATACTTTCAAAAGTTTTATTAATATCTTTAAATTTTTATTACGAATCTAAACTAATATCTTAAAATTTTTATTCGGTAGCGAATCTATACTCCGATACTTATAAAATTTAATAGAAAATTATGCATAAATTGAGAATAAAATAGGGGTAAGGGTCGGGTCAGAGACGGAAAAGTCATGTTTACCTTCACTCTGCAAAATGGGGGTAAGAGTCGGGTCAGAGACGGGAAAGTCATCTTTACCTCCACTCTGATACGTACACACCTTTATACCTAATCAATTCATGTATGTAAAAAAAAAAATTATTAAATCTTAAGAATATTTTTTTTAGAAAAATTACAAATATTAAATTTAAGGACTAAATTATTACAAAAATTTTAAAAAATATTTATGGACTAAATTATTAATTTACAAGACTATTTTTTACCTTTTTACTCTAATAATCATTAAAAAAAAAAATTATATTTTTCCGTACCTTTCATCTTGTATGTGTAATTATACAATTGTTAATTAATTAATTGATTTTGATTTACCAAAATTAATATAGTTTATTATTTAATTATAATGAATAAATAACATTTATAAAAATATATTCAATTCATTATGTTATCAATAAATGTAGTTATATATTTACTAAAATTATTAATTAGTTAATTAGTTACCAACATTTTAAATATATTTAATATGTAATTTATGATTATTTAAGTTAAGTTAATTGAAAATTTTATTTTCAATAATTATAATTATAATCAACTAATTATCCCTTGAATTTTTATGAATATTGTGCAAATAAAAATCTTAGAAAAATAAAATACAATTAAAGTGTAAAATTTTTCGAGGAAAAAACAAACCTAAGGTCACATATACGATTTCAAATTGGGTAAATGACTATTTTAACCCTGATTTTTTCGGTTCAATAATAAGAGTGAAAATTTGTTTTTCTGATCGAGAAAAAATTAAAAGAAAACTATTTGAATATTCAACTTATTTTAATATTCGCGGTGTAATAATAAAAAAATAAATTAATGAGGATATTAAATTTATTTGGAAGAATGTATTGATAGAAAATTTAAAATTCTAAAATAATTTATTGATAAAATTACAATATTATCCTTTAAAATATATATATATATATATTATTGATTGAAAATGTTTGAATAGTTGACGATTAAATATCTATATATTGTATCAACTACGAGCAAAATGTATTTGCAAAACAAGAATAATTGATATCGATGTAGTACTAACGCACTTATAACCGACACTCTTTGAAACTCTCGTTTAACTGTTGAGACGTCATAATTACATAACGCTCTTGTTGAATGCCTCTCCTTTGAGCTCAGTAGAAGCTTCCGAGAGACAAAGAATTGAGTATTAGCTAACACTTGGCCTCCCGCTCACCTTTAAGGTTGATTTCGCTTCAAGATTCATTAAATTGATTGATATCTTGATCGGCCTTAGTGGCTTGAGAATCACCCCTAAAGGATTGGTTATATTGCTCTGTCGAAGTAGGTTTCAACCAAACTAGCCTTAAATCCTCGAGGGTCGATGGGTTAGACAAACTGGCATAGGCCTACATCGTTAAGGGATTGACCAAATGGGTTCGGTCCAATTTGTTGGATCAACCTTTCTAGAGTTCGATCGGGTTTAACCTCGTGACTTTTTAGACCATACATTAGCTTATGATAACCCTATTTTTTTTCGAGCCTTTTGTATTCAACCTTATGACGAAATTTTACCTCGAACATTATAGTTATCACTACTTTTATAAAAGCCCAACAAACAATAATCGGTGATTGAATTTGTCCACACAAGACTTTATAGAATGACATAATTGGAACTTTGAAACTTTGAAGCCTTCCCCTAAAATTGATTTATTGTAGGTAAGACTCGTGCTCGGGATTCATATTAAAATTCGGAACATGGATTCGGCATCTGATGGCTCCAACATTCCTCTGCATTTCGTGCGATACAGTCACGTTATCTATGTTCCTCGCTTCTTAAGAGTGAATACTACCCCACAGTCCTTCCAACATGTTCCGAATTCAGCACTTGATGGTCTGAATATTTCTCTACATCTAACTTGTTTGAATTAATAATTAATCACGTAAAGAAGATCATAGGTACATAAGTGAGGGACGCAATCTCTACTAGTATGAAGTTTTTTAAGAGAACAAAAAAATAAAGGCATGATAACTCTATCGATAAAATCCTCAAGTATCGAGTAAAGGAGCTCAAGCTTTGAACCTTGAACGTGTATTAATAAAGAAGACGTTTTAGTGCATTGTTGTTGTTGAGTTGATGAGTCAAAAGTAGTTGTTCTTTACCTAACATTTGTTGGCCACACATGTCTATGAAAGTCGTGAGCCAATATCTCATCTCTTTCATTGGCTACCTTCACATCCAACAAGGCTCCATGCCCACCACAAATTCCCATTATATTTTCAACGTTTGACATCACGAACACGTAACGGGTGTTCGGAGGTGTAAATTTGACATCTTTAAGTTCGAAATATCGTTAGATACGACGAATCTCACCTCTTGTTTTGAAGATTTTTCTTTCGATTTTGTGTTGATCTTTTTTTTTTTTTTTTTTTTTTTT